GGGGGGGGGAATTCCCTCGGATGGTTATGGCTCCACCGTCGCATACAAGATCTACAGCGTTGAAATCACAAATGAAAGCAGCTGCAAGTAGTGGTGTCCATCTCGATCGCATCTGGCATGCTGCAGAGAGGCTCAACCCGCCACATTTCTCAGTGGACTGTCCCAAGGTGTGGGACGACGGAAGACGGGTGTAGCTGTAAGGGTGGCAAAACGGGGACAGGAGGCTGAATGTATTAAAACACAATTATCATCAAATATCGTAACTAATAGTGAATTTTAATTCATCATTCATGATACCTTACATGTAATAAAGCGAAAATTGATTCAAGAAGATTGCTAGATGCAACTGTGCATAGAAATTGCATTCCTACTATACATTTAGCAGGCGGAATCCAAGAAAACTAGCTCGATATGTCTCTATATCTCCCTCTGCGAAATTATTCAACTATGTTCAGACCAACGTTTTACCCTTGAGAATTTTAAGTTTGCAGAGAGGGCAGGTTGCACTAATCTGCAGCCACTTGCTAGTACATTTATGGTGGAAATGGTGGTTGCAGGAAAGGGTGCACAACTCAGCCCCATCCATGTACTTATAAAGGTATACGCAGCAATCCTACAAGGAGAAATAAGTTATTGCGTGAGTTTGAATTTTAGTTAGACTAACATTCATAAATGAAATGAAATGAACTATGGAAAAAGGTGAATACGTGCATTAGTTTATTTGTCAATTCAAGCAGGCGATACAAAAGAGTGGAGAAAAAATTGTCTGAACCAACTTGGAGAAATTCTAATAGGCAATACATGCGCAATTAGTACCCAACTGGACAGGTAAGATCCCGTTTGATTCCTATTTTTTTCAAAATGTATTTTTCTCTTTTTTTTTCAACCATATATTCTTCATTAAAATAATATTACACGTAAATAAAAAAAATTATTATTTTTCATCCACACTTTCTCCATCAATCTATTATTCTAAAATTCATTTTTCTATGAAAATGGGTGTCAAACACCCTCTAAATTTAAAACACAATTTTCTCAAATAGTCTGGGATGTTGCATTGATGCATTTAGTAGTTGAGGAAGTTTAAAGATCTTGCATTTCTGTAATATCAGAATTGAGATTTCCCTATTGGTCCAGGTCATTTCGAGGCAAACGGATCATTTGTGATAAAGAGGATGAGAATTAGAATTATTGGAAATCATGAAATTGATTGATGTCTGAACTAGAAATCTGACATTTTGCTCATTTCTTCTCTCACTTGAAGTCTGAGATGAGGAGACTAAAAGGCATGCATGGCCAAGGAAGAAAAATTATACTGAACTGAAACGAAAGAAGAAAACAGAGAGACGAAGGAATTAATGCTTATAGATTCCTCTGGATTAAGAGCAAGTTTAGCTGCAGGGTTACTGTTAGCAGACTCTGAAGTTATACTAACCTCCTCTTGCTTCTTATCATTTCCCAAAGTATTGGGCAGGCGATATCTATACTTGGGAAGAACCTTAATATCATTTTCAGATGCTCCTTCTCCAATAATCATAGCATAGGAAACTGTAGATATGATAGGAAAGCAACAGAACAGTGTAAAGAAAATAATACAGACCATTGCTAAACAGAAGATCATAAAGAACATGTCAAAGGCTAGAAAAACCACCGGTAACCTACAATTTAGATAATTAAATATGAGGGACATTTTAGTGTATACCGTAAAAGCAAATAGACAAATGTCATAGTTTTAGAGCATTTTTGCTACCCAAAAAAAAAAAAAAAAAATTAAAATATAAAATAAAATAAAATTATAAAGAGAATAATTTTCATTCTTAACAATCCTGGTGAAATTCTGAATTGGGGAAGAAATCATCACATGAATCTGAAAAACAAAATTGATATTAATGTTATGCATTACAACAGCCATTTTTTGCGATCAAACATGCTGCCTTGAAATGGTGCAACATATTTATGATGAACTTAAAAACTGTCGAAACCGTTTTACATTTCTGAGATCATTCAAAGATTTCATTTTAGATTGGAGGGTGATCATTATCGAATGTTAAACATAAAAATACCTGTATAGGCAGGGAGAGTCTTGTAGAAGCGCTTGGCCACCATCACAATCCAATAAAATCCAAACACTCACCAAATTGATGAAATCACAGTATTAATGGATTCCAATTTCTTGAAAATGCTGAAAATTATCGAAAACGAGAACCATCAGTTTACAATTGTTGACCACTAAAATCACTTACACTATGAGATCTTGTAATAATGAATTCAAGTAAAAATAAGAGTAGAATATGAACTGCAGAACGACTTTTCACACTTTAAATAGCGAGAGTTAGGTATTATAAATTCAATTAGAAAAATCGGTAACTACTAGTGGGCTACCTCTTTTACTTCGCATTTTCGACCTACTTGAGCTACAAATGGGTATTGGTATGGGTGTGGATATGCAAGGAATGAAAAGAACTCAACCAACTCATTCTTGCACATGAAATATGCTTTTGATTGTCTATTTCTTCTGGGATCTTTCTCCTCACTCAGTTCTATCTTACACCGTGTCTTCCATCCATATCCTTTTTTATTTTCCCAAGATGCGTAAGCGTAACAACGTATGTGACCATACCTCAATCAATATAATTCTCAACTGCACCCACTTATAGCAGAAGTTCATCGAAATAACAAACTTGGCTAAGAACTAAGGTCTTTGAACTAATAGAACTAATAAGTTGTAATGTGTTTGGATTTAAGTGCTGATTGAGGAAAAAGAAGAAGACGAAGCTATTGCTGTGTTTTCGTTTTGCTGTAAAAATGACTAAAATGATTCTATCAACAAAGATTTGCATCCAAATCTTAATTAAATATATTTTCAGACATTCTGCTATGTATTTACCTCCTCACTAATGTAAAAAAATATTTTCAATTTCACATATTTTGGTCTCACCGAAAAAACAAGAAGTAATTTTTTTCACGGTTAAACATGTACAATAACAAACAATGAGTCTAATGAAGTTCATTAAATCAAAACATGAACTAGAAAATATTATTTCAAATCTTCCACTGAAAAGAAAATTTCCCCTTTACCTGCGGTTAATCCTTGGGCCAAGACAACCTTTCAATATCAAATTAAAACAGATTATTCAACTTAATTTCTCCCTAACACTCGCTCTCCTCTCTCTGTTCTTTCCCTTTTCCCTTTCCCCTTCTCGCACAGTTACTTTGCTTCCGTTCACCAGTAGAACAAACAGTTCCACAGCCCTCCCTTTCTCTTCCTTTCTTCTCCCTCAAATTCACATCCACCCTATCGGATCATAACTACACCCTATTTCAAATTTTAGTTGGTTCTGTTAATATTAAGGTTTGAACTTCAAAGTTGGGATTGACGTTTGGTTCAATCCTCCAAAGTATTGTGGGCAGGATATCTTTGTTAAATACAAATGTGAATATGAAACTTGCCAACAATAACCTCATACTTAGGGTACAACAATAATGAGGACACAAAGATCATATAGATCCTAATCCTATGTTATCCATGATAGCTAAAGATAAAATTCTATCAAAACAATGATAAACACATCCTAATGAATAAGGATAAATCTGTATCACCATCATCATCGTCACCCTTAATTCAAAAATTCCAAGTTTTATCATGTCCTTCAACTTGTTGAACACATACAACTTCAACGATTTTGTGAATAGTTGCACTACTTGATATTTTGACTTGTAGTAAGCAAAATCGGTTTCATCTTGACTCACCACGTGGAAAAGCGATAATGCACATGGACGTCTTTAATTCTCTCATCTGCATAAACTAACTCACTAGCTGAACCACAATTCCAAGTTCTTTGGGAATCCAAATACACAGGAGATAAGTATTGACATTGAGCATCCTTATCACTTTCCACACAATCGAGTCAAGAATAACAAAATCAATCCTGTTTAAATATATCAAGCAGCAATATGTTCAGAAAACCATTGAAGCTGGATTCATTCATACTCAACCGAGCTTCGTTACACAAGATAACACTTCAAAATAAGGAAGAGAAAAGCATACCAGATCCATGAAAAGCAACATTCAGGAACCTTAAACCCATTTCTTGCAATGATAAACAAGTTAACTAGCCTTCATTTAAAGGGTCTTCCGTGATATCAGTTTTTATCTTCAATCTTTGATAGAAATATCAACCAAATAATCCAAAATTATAATTATTCAATAAGCAATTCAAACATATAATAAAATTATTAATATCAATTCTACATCCCCAATAAACAAAAATCAAATTAAATTTACCTGTTACGACACAGTGAAGAAAACGAAAAGACACCACAAAAATTAAACTCTCGACCAACATCATCAAGACTACTCCTTTGATACTCAGCCCACACAATCCCCACATGCAGAAGACTCAGCAAAGCATACCCAAAAACCCAAACCCTTAAGTGTGTCGAGGGTCGTTCTTGAAGGGTGGTCAAAAGCACAGAGAAAGACACCAAAACAAATGCCAAGTTCCATATTATATCAAGAAACACAAAGGGTCTTGATAGCCACAATCTGTAGTGCTGAGTGGTGCATCATTTTCAGGTTCATCATCTATGAAGATCCTGTGGTGGTGGTGACCTGGCTATGGATTGGGCCAATTTTTAAAATGGCTGGATAATTGATTCAATTTTCTTTTCTACAAAGAAATACTATTTTACCCTTACTATAATTATTTACAAGATATATCTTATATCTTTAAAAATTTATTAATCATGACCTATATCAATATTTTTCAATATTTCAAATACCTTTAAATAGTCTTTGTATTTTAGTAGTTTTTTAAAGATCCTAGACTGACCTTTCTTAGTTATATATTCTCTAACTAATCCTTCTGAAATTTCTTCTTGTATATCTCTATATTTAGTTATAATATCCTCTATCTTTCTTATCTCTTTACTAGTTCCTACAGAATCAAATCCTATATTATTTTTACAATTATAATCTATATCTCTATATATTTTTTCAATTTTTTCTATGCCAACAGGAAATATATCTTCAGACTTTTCAGCTAATTTAAATAAAAACGAAATATCTTTTTCATCTAAAAATAATATGAGATTATTATCATTATTAGAAATAGATGTGGATGCTTGTAAATTGTTCATCAAAATAATTAAAGCATAAGCATGTAAGAATAAGTAAATAACTTACAGTAATCAAATGGAAGTAAACAGGCTTTCCCTCCAGTGTGCTTCTATAAATGCTTTGCATGTACTTAATCAATCTTCTAAATCAAGTAAAGATTAAAATGTTTTTTGAAATCATTTGGGTCCACAACTGCTTCCGCAAAAGGTTTTTCAATTAAGGTTGCATTTTTCACTCTAGAGAACTGGTCGTGTTTCCACAGACGCTATCTCACAGTATTCAGAGTCTCTGTTTTCACCTTTATCCAAACTCTTTTCAGAATCAAGTTCCTACTTGGAACGAAATTTTAAAAGATAACTCACACACAATGTGCTACAATTTTGTTAGAAAATTGCATTTTTCCCCTAAACCATTCTTCAAAGACGGGTACTTTGGCATGGCTAACATCCATTCAAAATCAATGTTTTGAAATCTTTTAAAATCTCTATCTGTACTGTCAAGGAATCATGACAAAATCCTTTTATGAAAGCTTTGTTGAACATAACAAATTTTACTTTGATATTTATAAACTGAAATAGTATATACTTACAATCTATATTTACATAGCTTTGGTACTCACCTTATGAAGTTTAGAACTCCATAAGTGATTACCTTATTACACGCTTTACTATCTTCAAGCTATTTAATATTTTTCTGAATACAAGTGGTGTATATAGATTACAAAAGATATTTCTCTAAGATGTGTTTCCTCCAAGTGTTTAAGAGATAAGTTATTTCAAGATGTCTTCCTTCTTCCTCCTTGCCTCCTTTTATAAAAGCCTTTTATAACTCACACACAAGGTGCTACAATTTTGTTAGAAAATTGCATTTTTCCCCTAAACCATTCTTCAAAGACGGGTACTTTGGCATGGCTAACATCCATTCAAAATCAATGTTTTGAAATCTTTTAAAATCTCTATCTGTACTGTCAAGGAATCATGACAAAATCCTTTTATGAAAGCTTTGTTGAACATAACAAATTTTACTTTGATATTTATAAACTGAAATAGTATATACTTACAATCTATATTTACATAGCTTTGGTACTCACCTTATGAAGTTTAGAACTCCATAAGTGATTACCTTATTACACGCTTTACTATCTTCAAGCTATTTAATATTTTTCTGAATACAAGTGGTGTATATAGATTACAAAAGATATTTCTCTAAGATGTGTTTCCTCCAAGTGTTTAAGAGATAAGTTATTTCAAGATGTCTTCCTTCTTCCTCATTGCCTCCTTTTATAAAAGCCTTTGGGAATCTTATCTTGACAGGTGTCTTTTCCCCTTTCTTTGTTGGGTAGCTAGGCCATCTTATCTCCACCGAATTTTCCATTATCTTCTTGCTAAGTGGACCTCTCCTTTTGAAATTATATGCCTTATCTTTTGAGTTTGTCTGCCACTTGTGACAAATGGTGGGGAGTAGTCACAATTATGGAGACTTTTCTTGCACTATCTTCTATCTTTTAGTAGCCACAATTTTTCTTTAATAAATTTCTTTATTAAAGCAGTGATAAAGGGCTACTTTTGTCACCATCACTTTTTCATTTTCGAATCAAAGAATTCTGCAGGGAATTCTTCACTATTAAGAGATACTTGACTTATATCTTCAACAACACAGTATTCACAATGGTGATCACTGTAGTTCCAGAGTAATTTGCATAGTTTTTTAGCCATATCTTCTGATCCATGCACTTGGTTAGAAATAATTGCAAATAATAAATGATCGAGATAACAAATATCTTCTTCCTTGGTGGACATCCTTGCATTGGAGTAGATAATATGATCTTCAGATGGATAAACCCATATTTTTTCTTTCTCAGTAATTATCTGAGTTATATGTTCAAATATCTCTTTGTACCCTTTTACTCTTCTATAGGGCATCATATTTAGAATATCTTGATATCCATTTTTAACAACCTTTTGATTGGTTGGTAAAAAATGTTGATTTGTAAGTCTCATTTTTATCACATGGAACGATGGATGCATATATTCAAAAACGGGATCTCATTCCATGGTTGCTGAATGGAATCTGATATATATATTTGTTGTCTTGATGACTTCAGTATATCTTTTAACAGTTTTCTTGATGTTGGCTGGAAGCTGAGCTATCTCTTTGAGATTTTTGCTAGGATATATACAGAGTATATTTCCTATCTCAAAACAATTTCGTACCTAGTTGGCTGGTGCTCCTGGATAAAAATTTATCTTGTTGTCTTTTGAATAGTGGAGAGTCTTCTTCCACTTTTCAATCTCCAGATACCAATCTGATAAAATATTGAAAATAACAATAAAGAGTTACTTTTTCATGGTTATCTTTTCTGGGAATTTTTGTTTCATGGCATATCTTGACAATATCTTTTGGATCTATCATTTCAATAGAAAGTTTAGATTGAATTTGGCTCCGTGAAGGTCTACCTTCTCTTTTGATATCTTAAATATCTTTATTACCAGTAATAGGTTTAAGTTTTCCCTATGAATGGGTTCCTATTACCTTCTTTTCTTTCCCTTTATCCTCGGGGAGAGCACTAGTATTCACAAGTCCTTGCAAAGGGATACTAGATTTGGTACAAGTAACTTCTGGCTCAAGGGCTATATTTTTTCCTCGAAAGCTATCTTGGATATTTTGAATCCGTGTTTCCAAATAGGAAACTTTTATCTCAAGTATTTGGACTTTCGTCCTTAATTGTTCTAACTTCATCCATGCTAAGATAATCGGGAAGAAAGTTAGTTTTACCTTTTGTATATTCAATATCAAATTTGAAATATGAAAACCAAATTTGTATCCTAATAATATATCTATTGGCAATAGATGGATCAACATTATTTTTCAAAAATACTTTAATTTGAGTATTATCAGTTCTAATCAAGAATTTCTTTGGTAATAGATAATCCTCATATTTCTGAACTCCTCTTTTTACAGCAATGAGTTCTTTCCTGTTCGTCTCATATCTTGTTTCAACTTCTTTGAAAGTTCCTAATGTATAACCTGCAAGTATCTCAGGACAAGAACAATTCTTTTCACATTTATATTCTTTATGATTCTTTTTAACCTTTAATACAGTTCCCCAGTAATTATCTGAAGCATCAGTTTCAAGGATAAAGAAATATTTTTCTTGTAGTATTATAAGTTTGGGCAATACCTTTAACTCTTCTTTTACTTTCCTTATATTTTCACAATCTTGTTCTTCCCAAGATCACATTATATTTTTTCTTAATTTTGGAAGAAAATAATTTTTCAATTTGGCACAATTTTCAATGAATCTTTCAGCATAATTTAATATACCAAGGAAATTTTGTAATTGTTTTTTATCTTTGATTTTTTCAGGAAATTCTTGAAGTTTTTCTCCAATATGAGATTGCAATTGCAATTCTCCTTCTTTTATAAATAATCGTAAAATTTCTATTTCTATTCTAGCTATCTTAACTTTCTTTTGAGAAAGTGTAATACCATGTTTTTTCATAATATAACAAAATTTCTCAAGATGTTCAATATGTTTATCAATATTATTTGAATGAATAAGTAAATTATCTACATATGTAATATAGAAATGAGTAATTGGTTTGATTACCTCATCCATTCTTCTTTGGAATATTTGTGGTGCATTTTTCAACCCAAATGGCATTACATTCCATTCGTATTGTCCTAAAGGATTGGGGGTACTAAATGCAGTTAGTGGTTTACTTTCTTCTGTAAGCATGATTTGCCAAAACCCTAACTTACAATCAAATTTTGAAAATATCTTTTTGTTCTGTACTTGTTTAATAAGGGTGTCCTTATTTGGCAAGTAATATCTATCAAATTTAGTAACTTCATTTAATTTTTTGTAATTTATCACCATTCTGGCTTTTCCTCTTTTTATCTCACTATGTTTTCTAACCATAAAGGTTGGGCTACTATGTGGACTTTTACTAGGCCTAATTAACTTGGCTTCTAGCAATTCTTTTATCTGGTCTTTAAATTCCTTTTGATTATCAACACTAAATTTCATGGGTTTGACTCTAACAATAGTGTCTGGAATTTTTGCCTTTACTTTGTCTGTATTCCATTTTTCTAATGGATTTTCAGAATATGTTTCAGAAATTTCTTTTTTCAATTTTTTAATCCTATTTTCTGTTGTCATTTTTAAAACTGTAACTGGTTTAAATTTTCCTGTACTTCAACATCCACCACGCTGGGTTGAGGAACTCTGATGGTTCATATCTGTATATGCTATTGTAACAACTTTATTTATTTTTGGTGTAAATATTTTACGTGCACAAGGTGTTGTGAACATATACTTATCAATATATTGTGTAAATGGTGCATATTTTAATAGGAAAATTTGTCCTAATAAAATATCACATCCAATTGTGGTTGACATGTATATTGTATCAATAAATACTTCTCTAAAGAAAAATAGAAAAGGTACTTGCGTAGCATATTTGCTATATATTACCTTATTTCCACCTGCTCTTGTAGCGGTGACTATCTTCT